CTTTCTTTATCTCTCTCTCTCTCTCTCACACACACACACTTTCTGTCCGTCTGTCTCTCTCCCTCTTTGTATTTTTTCGCTCTCTGTATGTGTTTCTCTTTCAACCATATAACGTTGGTATTATATCTCTCCTCTTTACGCCATTTCTTTTCTCTCTCTCTCTCTCTCTCTCTCTCGTGTTCTCTCTGTATAATCATACTATCTTTCCATCGTATCTTCCGAATTTTCTACAAATTTTACGTAGATTTGTAAAACATTTTTATACGAAAATAAAGTTTTAATGACACGATGTTGAAATAAATCAATACATTTCGGACGACTAAAATGGTTCTGTGCGTTTTTATTTACAATGCCTCTCTTTTTTGTTAACATTAAGAGGAGAGGAAAATGACAGAGGGGCATCATGTAAGTTTTTCAAAATCATATTTCATGCTTTCATAATTATTTAGGCATTTAACCCACATCTGATATGATATCAAATTTAACAGCATGCTTTTCTGGTGTGATTGCGGAAGTGTTAAATCGCCCATACAGTTACTACATGTATGATATTATCCCATATTAGTTCATAAAATGGTGAAATAACATTGCTATTAGTAATGTCAATATGCCAATTATACTTGTGTACTTCCGTGTGGTTTTGTGTGTTAAACAATCGACGAAATCTAAACTACGAAATGTCATCATAACTATACAGCATTATTTGAAGGACGACGCTCATGTAAATGTACATTTATGCAATCATGCATTTACTCTCATAGTATGATGTGTCATCGAAACTTTAAAAAGAATCGAATCATTGTTTCGTTTCCTTTTGATGAATAAAATATTGCATTGTTCAAGGACTTTATGAAAGTAAAATTTAGGAAACGTTTTGTAGTATATTACTTTCTGCATGGACGTGTGGTGTAGATAATGGCTTAAGAGCATGACATAAATCAAATTAGGTGAATGAATGAATGCTTGAAGGAAATTATAATTGGCCAATATGCCAGATTCCCCCTCCCCCATTTTCCGATTAATTTGGGCTCCTATAAAACCAAATGAATCTAAAATCATTTTAATTGATAACACCATCTGTTTATCTATGTTTAATTAACATTTATATCGATCGTGAGAATAATAAAAACAGCAACCATTTTTATCTACGAGGAATCGTATTTTTTCAATAACAATAGGAGGTATTGCATGTTTTCCTCATATTTATAAGGTAATGTGTCTTCATACATTTCATTTTTTACCTAAATAGATACGTTCTGCTTATTCTGTATTGGTTTCAGTTCTTTTTTGCGAACGTTGAATTTCCTTCCTCTTTAATTTTGCAGTTTAATTAAAATCTAAGTCGATCGTGAAAATAATGAAAACAGCAACCATTTTTATCTACGAGGAATCGTATTTTTTCAATAACAATAAGAGGAATTGCATGTTTTCCTCATATTTATGAGGTTATATGTCCTCATACATTTCATTTCTTACCTAAATAGATACATTCTGCTTATTCTGTATTGGTTTTCAGTTCTTTTTTGCGAACGTTGAATTTCCTTCCTCATTAATTTTGCAGTTTAATTAAAATTTAAGTCGATCGTGAGAATAATAAAAACAGCAACCATTTTTATCTACGAGGAATCGTATTTTTTCAATAACAATAAGAGGAATTGCATGTTTTCCTCATATTTATAAGTTTATATGTCCTCATACATTTAATTTCTTACCTAAATAGATACGTTCTGCTTATTCTGTACTGGTTTTCAGGTCTTTTTTGCAAACGTTGAATTTTGTTCCTCATTAATTTTGCAGTTTAATTAAAATTTAAGTCGATCATGTGAATAATGAAAAACAGCAACCATTTTTATCTAATAGCAATCGTATTTTTTTAATAACAATAAGAGGAATTGCAGGTTTTCCTCATATTTAAAAGGTTATATGTCCTCATACATTTCATTTCTTACCTAAATACCGTGTGAGTCAAAAAAAGTTTACACCTAAAAAATTGCTAAATTTTTTAAAAATCATCTATGAACAGTAAATTATTATACATCTTATGAAAGAGTGTTTTATCCCAAATCATTTGGTACCATTTTTGTGTGGTATGTGTTCACGCTTGGATGAACAGGTGGCATTGTTTACGAGAGTGCAAAAATCGACTTGCGCCAAAGTGATGCCTTCAGTATGTATTATGTTGGGATTAGCGGAGTGAGAGAATGGATTAAAATATGTATCAAATGAAATGCATTGCATTATGTTTTTTGCAAAGGGCAAAGTCACACACACCAACATACACGCGCACAAATGTTCGTTGATATTTGATATTCGATATTTGATATGTGTGGCATGATTAATTTTGTTAGGGGTGTTATTTGGATTTGCAAAGACCGAATTAATACCCAAATCCCAATTGTTTTATTCAATCACATAGGCAACTTTGGCGCAAGTCGATTTTTGCACTCTCGCAAACAATGTCTCCTGTTCATCCAAGTGTGAACACATACCACACAAACATGGTACCAAATGATTTTGGATAAAACACTCTTTCATAAGACATATAACAGTTTAATGTTCATCGATGATTTTCTAAATAATTAGCAATTTTCTAGGTGTAAACTTTTTTTTGACTCACTCTGTAGATACTTTCTGCTTATTCTGTATTTGGTTTTCAGTTCTTTTTTGAGAACGTTGAATTTACTTCCTCATTTGCAGATGGTTCGACGTTTGCAATTTGTGATTTGTGAAATATTTCCAAACTCCTTCCTCAAATTAATTGTGTAAGTGGTACAATGTTTAGATTGGTTTGGTTATTAAAAAAGAAAATATAAATGTTCGGGAAACGTTACCAAGTACAGGCAATTATGATTGAATCGTTGCCAAGCGAATCAGGTCAAAACGAGAAAAAAACTGTTTATATAAATTGAATTAGGGAAAGATACGCACGTATTGGCCTAAGTTTACTAATTGACCTTCATTTTCCCATATTTTGTTCACTTAAGTTCTTGAGATGAAGGGGATAATTTAAAGTAGTTTCCATATAAAGAAGAGATAATTATACAATTGTTCGGCATTTGCAATATGGGGCTTGTTAAGTCTTTCCAAACTCCTTCTTCAAATGAATAGTGTAAATAGTACAATGATTAGTTTGGTATGGTTTTTAAAAAGAAAAATGTAAATGTTCAGGAAACGTTTGTAACTACAGGCGGTTAAGAATGAATCGTTGTCAAGCGAATCAGGTCAAAACGGAACCAAAAAAATGTTCATAGAAATTGAATTAGGGAAAGATACGCACGTATATAGACCTAACTTTAGTGACTGGACATTCATTCTCCCATTATTTTGTTCAATGAAGCTCTTGAGATGAAGGGATAATTTAAAGTGGTTCCCATATAGAGAGGAGATAATTGTACAATTGTTCTGCATTTGCAATATGTGGTTTGTTGAATCTTTCCAAACTCCTTCCTCAAATAAATAGTGTAAGTGGTACAATGATTAGATTGGTATATTTAAAAAAATCGATCTAAATGTTCAGGAAACGTTATCAAATATTAACAAATAATTAAGAAAAGGCGGATACGTTGAATCGTTGCCAAGGGAATCAGATCAAAACGGAGCAGAAAACTGTTTATAGAAATTGAATTAGGGAAAGATACGCACGTAAAGACCTTACTTTAAGTGACTGACCTTAATTCTCCCATATTTTGTTCAATGAAATTCTAGAGATGAAGCGGATAATTTCAAGTAGTTGCTATATAAAAGGAAAGATAAAAATAGACGGCACCAACATATCAGGTATATATTTGTTCAAAGATGGTGAATTGACATGATTTTAGCTTTCAGCAATCGGATCTATATAGTTATAGGGGGGAGGGGGTCGTTTGATGATTTTTTTTTAAGGGGAAGGGGCCCACCTCCTGGACATGTGTGCCCATCACCACGAGAATGCCCACTGCCACTCATCACTTTTTAAACTTTTAACATTTACTATTGATTTGTAACGTGCACTTTGCAATTTTGTTTGTATGTATCTATTTTCAATAATTTATTTGGTATATCTTTAAATGTAACAAATGTGCAATTCAGCCTTTGGCTGCTAAGCATTTGACGAATAAACTCTTTTTGATTTGAATTGAATTGAATTGAATTGATTTCAAATATAACTTGAAAAGGTAGTAAATGCTGTTTACTAAATATCGGTACACATTCATGGCATTATGGTTCAGACATTCACATAATCACACATCATAACATATTACAGCATCATGTCATATTTTTACAGAGAAAGTTACATAGATATCACGCAAGTATATTGTTTGTGGTATACATGTATTACGCAAAGGAAATGAAATCTTGTGAACAGAGCTGATCGACCTTATGTGCACCATTAAATCAAAATTTCGATTTTTACGAGAAAAAATTATGGTCGCCCTGGTCACAGGGCACCATTTAAATAATGAGTGTGACATAATTACGCATGATTACGATTTCAAAGCATTAAAGTGAATAGGTATAACATTGTTGAAGGTTGATCGAGAAAAAAACGTAATTTTTGTATGAAATGTTAGTTATTATATTCCTTTTACTGTACTAACACTCAAACATGCAGAGAATCCTGAAAGAATTCTCAAACCATAAAGATATTTATGGTTTTCTTTGAAGGCGTCGCTGTGCAACACCTCTAAGAGTAAATTCTCCCAACCATTTTTTAATTTTCCAAACCGTTTTTCAATGAAAATAAGACATAAAACATGCTTTACAATATCTTCCAACATGGTCGGAATGAATGATATATAGAACCAATTCATCGCTTTTTGACGATTGAAATTCACCTAAAATGTAATAAAATTGTAATAATAGCCTATAGTTGGGAGAAATAAGGAGTCGATCAGATTAGTTTTTTCCAATTTTTATCATTAACAATGGTCTGTTTTCACTCAAACTTTCTGATTATCTTTAATCGTACATCATTACCTTAGCACCATTTTCTCTCATCTGAACAATGTTACCAAGTCCCTTTAAGATTTAGACTGAAGCCCACAACACCTACAACCCTTGTCCAGCAGTCCAAGCATTGTTGCTTTGCAATCCTTCCTGAAGCGAATGTTGACAAAACCGTACACGAACGGGTTGATGATGTGATTGATGGTGATCAAGCGACGAACAAAGGCGAAAATCTCGTAGCCGATTTTGTGGTTTGTTTTGAACAGTTTCATGGCTTCCTTGGGGATTATGATGGTGATGAACTGTGGAAGAAACGAGACGAAGTACACCACAGTGACGATGAGCAACATCTTCGTCGTGCTGTCCATCGATCCTGAGTTGGATTTTGATCTTGATTTTGTGGTCTTCCTACAGCAGTTGAAGGAGGTTGGCACTTTCTCAGAAGAGTCGACGCCATCGTTATCCTGTGCATGCTGCTCCCTTGTAGATGAGCTAGGTTTGTCGGTATCGGCTCCACTCTTTGGCTGGGTAACAACGTTCACACTCTCGTCATTCTTGTTTCCCACTACGGCGAGGACTACCCCTTGATGATGGAGACCACTCATTGTCTCCTCACTCTCCTCTTGGTTGGACCGTCCGTCAAAAGATGTCTGAACGGTGCCCCGGTCCGAAGACGCAGTCGTAGCTGTGTCCTCTGTGGCTTTAGACACGACGCCACTTGTCTTTCCTGGTCCTCCCTTCATACGGGCTCGAAGACGCATCTGTCTTCTGATGACCAGATAGATGTTGGCATAGCAGACAACGACCACGAGAAGACCCCCTAAGAATGTGATTGGGAAGCTTACCCGCAGAACCCACTTGATAGCAGGATCGGACGTGTCAGGGTAACAGATCGTACGATTACCCGGCAGCTCAAGGGTACGGAATGCAATAGCTATTGGAATCGTCATGATATATCCAATGGGAACACATAGTGCTGAGATTACTGCAGCGTATTTCGGCGGGATGCGTTTCGACATCGGCTTGCAGACGGCAAGGTATCGTTCGATAGCCACGGCGATAGTGAGAAACCGCGAAACGTATATCAATCCGTGGTTGGTGTAGTAACGAAACTTGCAGAAGGAATTGCTGGGATAGTCGTAGTAGACGATGTAGTTATAGATGACGACTGGGCTCATGAGACAGACGCCGAGATCGGCCAAGGCAAGGGCGATGATGAAGACACCGCTGCTCGTTCGCTGCTGTCGCTTGCAGTATGTTAAGATGATGAGGAGATTGCCAGGAACGCCAACCGCGAACAAGATTACTTGATAACAAATCGAAATACTTTCTGTAGTTGTAAGTGCCATGATGTCCCAGATATGCACAGCATAAGGTTTCAATTGAAATTGATGTTATGAAAAAAAATGAAAAAGCATCAAGTCCACAATGATGTCAAACAATAATACTCTTCAGAGTCCATGTAGAAAAAATAGAAAGTTCTGAATTCAAAATGTAGTTCATCGGATTGTCTATGAACGATACTCAGAATGGAAATGAGCCCAGCAGTGAATGTCTGCGTTGATATATTGCCTCATAGATCAGATAGGTTGTGGGAAAGGTGATGCCAAAATCAACCTCACAGTCACGTGACTAAACAGTGCGCTTGAGTCAGTGATTCGTATCATATTTCCGTATCCTATTTTCATGAACATCTTTTTTTATAATCGTCTTCCCTTTTTCAGCATACCGTTATCATCCCTACACTTTCTATATTTTGCTTTTATACTAATGGCCAATGATTGTAAAGGTGCAAAAGGCGGGGGGGGGGGATTAACTGCCCTCATCATGATAAAAACAATTGTGAACTATTATCCTAATTTATTTATGATAGCAAGAACGCTATAGAGAGGAGCATGCAGTTCCCCCAATGATAACAACAGAGGGCATAGTTGTAAACTGCACTAATTTATGATGGAAGCATGAATTAAATGAAGGATGCATCAAACTGAATGAGCTTCTGTGAATTAAATCAGAATGGAAATGTATGAATAAATAGTCAATGGAAAATAATTACGATTGTTTTAGTATCTAATACATCGTCGCTGTTTTCACGAAGTGACGGTAGTGAAAAAAAATTGCATTCACTTTGCGTTACGATTTTCCTCACTACCGTCACTTCGTGAAAACAAGGACGACATGTATATGCAAATGTTTTTTCGTCTGATAAAGTTATGGTGTTCCTGTTCTATATCATCTATATCATCGAGGTAACAGCATTAACATGAACGGCAGAACCAGCGTGGTGGTGGAAAAAAGCCTCTATGATGCAATACTACACCCCACACCCCTCCTTATAATTATGAACAATGCCCTTTCCTCATCAAGACTGTGTGCCCTGCATTTAATTTATTTTAAATGGTTTATTTCATTAAAAAACATTCGCGGCCCGAGAGCCGAATTGCAGTTTCTTTTACAAGGTATACATCAGTGACAAAGTAAAATTACACGTAAAACATTATGCATGGTAGCATTATGGTAGTAAAATTGGAATTCTTTTGTACATTATAGTTGTGCTTCAAAGACCTTGGCAAATTGCTTGGTACGTATACAGAAATTCGAATTTTATTACCATATTTGCAATAAAATTATATATTAAACTTATACAATATAATTATGAATAGCAATACATTTTTGATATTCAAAAGAATTAAATGTTTTGATTGGAAAATGCATAGCCAGATGGGTAAGGTATGGTTATGGTGTTTTCTTCAATAACAGAAACAGAGACAGCAACGGAAACCAAATCCAGGAATTATAAAGTCAAATAAATGCTCCAATGATTTAAAAAGATTATACAAATTATACATTGTAGGTAAAATGCAGAACATTTTGTATTTGGGCCAATTTAGTAAAAGGTACATGTAGAATATTGCATAAAAATAAGATAAGTTTCGCATAAAAACATGGGTAAAAGGTTGCCATTGTAATATTCGATATAATGTGTATCATCTTGGGAATCGTTAAAAAGGCAAACAGGATTTTGTACAATTAAATCTGATTTAGTTTAAAAAAAAGTAAAATTCTATAACATTATTCAAAAATGCATTCACATGTCATCCTTTTATTTACGAAGTTATATCAGCGAAATAGAGAGAGAGATAGAGAAAGAGAGAAAAAAGGAGAGTGAGAAAAGGGAGAGAGAGAGAGAGGGTGAGGGTGGGAGAGAGATAGGGAGAGAAAGAGAGATAGAATGAGAGAGAGAGAGAGAGAGAGAGAGAGAGAGAGAGAGAGAGAGAGAGGAGAGAGAGAGAGGGAGAAAGAGAGGGAGGGGAGACACAGAGTGAGAGTAACAAGACAGAGAGCTAGAGAACAAGGAAGCCATGAAGAGGGTCTCCCCGCTCCGCAGCACAACACTGACAGAGAGGAGAAAATAGGGATATTGAGAGAGTGAAAGTAGTAGAGAACAATGAATTTGTTCGTCGAAGGTGAAACTGGTAATTATTCAGTACTATGAGCGTTTAACAATCTGACTAGATATGGCAACGGACTGTTTCTATACCGTGTCGTTTTACATGACATTTCAGTGAGCTTGCTTTTATTTCTCAGATTTCGAGAATGGGAGTCCCCACGTGTTTGGGGCAGCCAATGACTAAACTTTGACCAGGCTCGAGCAGCTTCTTTGCAAATTTGAGGCACAGACATTCTCTGCGGTCACTCAAAGAGGACACTTTACACAGTTGAAGAGCGTTTTGATACGAGACAAAACGTGGCCCTAACATGAGGCGGCACGCTCGCTTTTGAATTCTCGCTATTTGTTCATTTTGTTTGGCAGACAAGCCGGAGTTCCAAACGGGCGCACAATATTCCTACACTGGCCTTATGTGTGAACAGTAAATGAGTACTAGATCATCTAATTAGGACAATTGAAATTTGGTGAGAACTCTCAGCATATGCAGCCTCATGTTTGCCTTCTTAACAATTTCATTGACATGAGAAGTCCATTTTAGATCTTTTTGGATGAAAACCCCTAGTAATTTGACACAATCTACTCGACTAATGTCATGTCCATCAATTTGGATGACAGGCGGTGGGGGTGGTTCACGCATGAAAGTTACTGTCATCACAGAACACTTTTTGTGGTTCAGTTTCATGTTGTTGTCTACAGTCCATTCTTGTAGGTTGCTCACACTTGACTGGATATTCGGTGGCGATGGAGATTTCTTGCATTCTAGCATTGTTAGGTCATCCACATATTTCCAGTAAGACGACGGTGACCTCCGGCATGCCTCGTTGATGATAGCCAGGAAGATAATGGGACCGAGTCTAGTCCCTTGTGGAGCCCCTGCAGAAACTTCCAGCCAATCAGAGAGCGTCGTTCGATATTTCACGCTCTGTTGTCGTTTGGTGAGAAAGTTCGCTATCCATGCTACATCACTCGGACGGACGTTCATCTGGAGCAGTTTGAGGACAGCTATATTGTGGTCTATCCTGTCGAACGCTTTACTGAAGTTCGTTGTCACCATTGTAGTAATGATTTTGGGCTTGTCAGCGTTGCTATGAATCATTTGTAGGAGATCAATCAAGTAGTGAGAGGTAGATATAGCCCTCATGTTCCCGAATTGTGCTGGGTCTATGGTGTTCTCCATGTCGCTGAAAGTCCACTTAGCAATGAACTTTTCGGCCATCTTGGCAAAATGATCAGTCAAAGATACTGGTCTGAGGTTATCGATAGATGCTTGAGATGTCTTGGGAATGGGAACAACATGCGCTCTCTTCCAACGCTCTGGTACAATGGACTGACTAAAAGATGCGTTTAGAATATCAGTAAGCGGACAGCAAAGTTCATAAGCGAATTTCTTGACAAGTCTGGCCGAAATGCCGTCCGGTCCAGGAGCTTTCCGTTGTTTAATGGCTTTCAACTCGCTATAAACTTCCCATGGTTGAACAAGGGGAAGTGGTTGGTCAGCCGGTAGATATGACGGCAAACTAGAAGGGTCCAATCTAGGAATGTCGTTTGCAATGTTCACGAAGAAGTTGTTGATCTTATTCGCCGCTGCGTCGAAGTCAGTAGGAGAAGTGACTTCGATGCGAATAAGTGGAGATCTCGTCTGGCCAGTTGTCATGGTCTTTATATGCTTATACCATGACGCCGGGTTGGCATTTTTCAGTTTTGCCACACGGTTTTTGTAGTAGTCTTGTTTTGCATGTTCAATATCACGAATAATTCGATTCCTGAGGCGTCGCCACTCTCCCTTCGCTTCCACAGCAAATGCCCTTTGGCGCTGGTAGATTAACGACTTAATGGAAGCCAAATGCTGCCCCATCTAAATTTGCCAGAAAAGCAAATGGGAAGTTACCGGATAGATGTCCATACTTAATAAGTTATTTTCGATATTCAAGTTTCAAGATTCAAATTTCAAGTTTGAGGTTTGAAGTTCAAGTTTCAAATTTTATTTGTTCCACATTTTACAAAAGATTTAGACATACATAGAAAATACATATACATGCAGTATGAGCAAGTCTCAACGATACTCACTATGACAAATATAGAATGCGAGGAACCTATTGAAAAGCAATGCTTCTATAATTATAGGTTTCTGGTAAAATAGACATTGTAGATGTAAACAAATCGTAGCATTAGAGAAATACGTAATTTAGAGGGGGAAACTTAAAACACAATGGAATAAGGAAATTTGTATACAAGTGCATTAGCACCAATACAGAGTCACCCGGTTAAAATGCGTAGTCACCCGTAGGCGCGGATCCAGGATTTCTTAGGGGGGGGGGGGGGGGGCCCAAAATTTGAAATTATGCGAGCCAAATATTGGTACGTAATGGTGACCAGCATTGACGTAATGGGGGGGGGGGGGGTGCAGAGAGGGGTGATTTCCCCCTCCCTCCTCCGCAAAGCGCCGAAGCTTTGACGTTTCATTAAATTATTAGAGAAAGAAGACGATTCGTTGTAAAGTTCTCGACTCTTAAGGCTTCGTCTGAATTCAGTTTCCCCCCCCCCCTTCTGCGCGAAGCGCGGAAGCTCTTACATTTCATTAAATCATAAGAGAAAGAAGACGATTTGTTGTACCGTTCTCGACTCTTAATCCTTTTCTGAATTCAGATTTCCCCTCCCCCCTCGCGCGCGAAGCAGGCAAGGAGGCAAGGAGGCAAGGAGGCAAGGAGGCAAGGTCCTTTCGGACCCCACCCTTTTCCACACGTTGTTTGTGGAATTAACCGCAAGTGATCTATTTCCCCTTCTTTTCACTCTTTTTTTCTTCTTCCTCTTTTCCGGTCCCTTTTAGCTCTCCCTTTTTCCATTTTAGCGGGGGCGGGGGGAGGCAAGGGCCTTGTGCCCCACCCCCACCCCGATCCACAACTTGTTGGCGGGGAAATTGCAACTGATATCCCCTTCTTTTCTTTTCTTCTTCCTCAATTTTCCTTCCCTTTATCTCCACTTTTCCTTTTTTCTTTCCATTTCTTTTCTTCTCTCTTATTTTTTTAAAGGGGGGGGGAGGCAACAGCCTGGGAGGCGAGGTCTTTTCGCCCCCCTCCCGATCTCCTTCTTCCCCTTTTCTTTTCTTCTTCCTCTTCTCTCTTTCCCTTTCTCTCCTCTTTCCCTTCTTTTCCTTCTCTCTCTCTCTCTCTCTCTTTCTCTCTTTTTTTCCTCCTTTTTTCCCTCTTTTTTTTTCCTTCTTTTTTTTTTCCTCCTTTTTTTTTCCCTTCCTTTTTCCCCCCTTTTTTTTCCTTCTTTCCCCCCTTTTTTTCCTTCTTTTCCCCCTTTTTTTCCTTTTTTTTTCTCAGGTGGGGGGAGGGCCGGGCCCCCCAGGCCCCCGCCCCCCCCTGCATCCGCCACTGGTCACTCGAGCAATTTAGTTAAAAGCAAGGCACCGTTGAACGAATTATAATTACATGAAGATTCAAGCTGGATAACATTACTAGGAGAAAACCACAAAGGTAAAAGTTTCCCGAGTGAAATAATAATTTTTAATAAAACCGTGTATACATCAGGTCGTCCATGAAAATAGAATGCAAATTAGATTAGATAATACTCTGAAAAACTTACATAGCAACATGCAATTCGTTCATACGCATTCAATAGGTTAGAAACAAAGTAATTTTTGTTAAATACAAGTCATTAATAACCGGAACATGCATCATTAATTAACAATTAAGATTAGCTTTGAAGAAAAAAGGAAAAGGAGGGCAAACAAATTATATTAGATATAAGACATTAAAAGATCACTGGGTGTTCCTCTCTATCTAGCCAGATTCCTCAGACGACAAAACTTTGCTTTCGATAACCGATGCTCTCAAACTAGTGGAACATTGTAGGAATTTCAGTTCCTAGAATTTAATTCACGTTGTATTGCCGGTGTGTGACGGCAAATTTTCAAATAACAAACAACTTCATAATTATATTCCCATCAAAATTGTGAGAAATTTGAGTGTATATGGACGGTGACCGCGAAGTTTGTCACGTGACTGATGCAGCTTAGCCAATCAGAGAACGCTATTCACGTATATTAATGAAGGTCACAACCCCCCCCCCCCCCGCCTTGTACGCCCAGGGTCATAATATAACTGTTAGTAGCATGTTATGGGCAAGCAACATGCGTATTATCCGAACCCAAAATATTACCAGTGTGAATTTTAAAAAGTCAAATTTGAGATTTTCGGTTAAAGTAGTCGATTCGGACTACTCATAGATCATCAATATCACAGAAAGAAAGTTTGACAATTATTAACGCTTCACCGACTTGTATATGGAAAAAACATGGTCACGGCACGCAATATTTTGTAGCACTTTAATCACATGATTCGATTATGTTGCATTATTGTGTACTGTCATTGATGAAATTCTCAAAGGCCTGAGCTATTTGCAAGAGTTGGAGTTCGTTGAATTTCTTAGAAGTCAACAAAATCCCGACCGGTAATCCGCCGAGACTCCCGGCATTGATGGTGATCGAAGGATGCCCCGTCAAGTTCGCGGATTTGGTATTCGTTCTGATGCCTTTTAGAGCAAATGTGATCGTTTCTGTATGAATAAAACATGTATGAATAAAACATGTATGAATAGACGTAATGGAAACAAAACAAAAATTGACGTGGGAATGAAAATCTAATCTTCTATTTTGGAAACATGAGGGAATACAGTAAGAAATAAAAAGTACTACTATACAATTGCGGTTACCACAGTATATTGTGGTCTACAATCTAAACATATTATTGTGTTAATAAACGCCAGCGTGATGGTAATTCTATTTTAATTTTCACAGTGAGCCTTTTACAAGCCGTCATTATAACCAATATGCAATGTATATTAAAAATTGACTACCATGAAGATGGTTGGAATATGAAAGGAAAAACGAGAACGATTATTTGAAATACACAGTAAACAAAACTAATCCAGCAAATAATTTTTAGTTGTTTGAATGTCGTTGTTGTGTTTTTAATTAAATCTCACCTTTGATTGAGGCACCACGTTCCAACATGGGCGGGGCTGTGAAGGGAACCGTTGGCATGACAACCACGTCATAATCTACCAAGACATCATCAAATTTCTTTTCGAGTTGCCTCTTCAGATTCTGAGCCTTGCCGTACAAATGACAATAATTCTTCTTCAAGAAAGTGCCTTCTATTAGATGGGCCTGTTTGTGGGAAAGGAAAATTTTATAACGAATTGAAATGGATGCGATTACAGTTTACATCGAAAAAAGACTAAACTAAGTTCAAACGTCGATTATGCGTGAGCGAGGGAAGGGGAGGGCGGAAACAGAGAAAGAGAGAGAGAGAGAAGGAGGGAGAGTTGGATAGATATGAAAGAAAGAGAGGGAGTTGGAGAGAAAGAGAAAGAGAGAGAGAGAGAGAGAGAAGAGGAGGAGAGAGAAGGAGAGGGATCAAGAAAGGGAGTTTGTTGTTCATAATTATTTCTTACTTTATTTATGGGATGAAGGTTCTTAGTATTGTGTTTAAGGCGAGCTCCAACATCCCTCATCATACTAGTAGCATAGTATCCTGTGTGATGCAATCCAACACCTGAAGAAGAGAGAAAGAAATATGACGAAGATCATAATCAGCTGATCATCAGGTAATGTACTTTGACAGTACAGAGGATACAATAATACCTTAAAAGTTCTCTACACATTTTGCAGGACAAAATGCGGAATGGTATAAGTACTGGTACATTGAAACCCTTTACAGATATATATTATTATCCCAATCCTCGGATTCACGCTTGCACACACACAATGTATGCACATTCTCCACTCCCTGTTGAGCAGTCCATTTCTTCATTCCTTCACTCCACAGTAACCATAATAAGTTTTAAACTTGACTCACCTGCCGTGTTATATGTCATGTCGACTCCACCAATGTCTCCAATAACAGTACCAATGGCTATACCTGTCAGAGAAATATACTAAAATTCAGGTTTTTTGACTAAATAAAATTCTCAAGAATTAACATAGTCGGCAAACTTAGCTAACATAATTATATTTTGTCCGACGAAGTTGATTTATCCAAAGGACAGATTGCAGTGTTTGACATTGCATCGGGATAATATACAGTGCGTTCCAGAAAAAACGAAACCGAGAATTTTCGATGTTTTATCATAGCTTAATCACATTTATAATTGACAAATGACACATATTTGGAAAGCTTATATCCACCTCTTTCATTTGATGCAACTCATATAATACATATCTCACGCATGAATGATTTAAATGAATTCGAAGAGAGGAAACCAAAAAGTCATTTGGCGGACGGTATCTGACTTTCAAAGAGAAAATCACATTAATTTTCTAGAAAGTTGAGTTTCTGCCCTTTCATATGACACCTCAATCAGGAAAAATAAGCAAGGAATGACAAAGTTCTGTTTGTTTAAAGTAGTGCTTGCATTTCCATAATTTTATCAAACGAATTCGTTTTCACTGGGTGCCTGCCGTAGCAACAAACATAGTTGACAAAAGACTTAACTCCATTTCGTTGACAATCAGCCGTAGACTAAAGACTTCATGCATGGCTCATTGTCAACGAAACGGAGTTAAGTCTGTTGTCAATTCTGCATTGAAAACGAATTCGTTTGATCAAATTATGGAAATGCAAGCACTATTTTAAACAAACAGAACTTTGTCATTCCTTGCTCATTTTTCCTGATTGAGGTGTCATATGAAAGGGCAGAATCTCAACTTTCTAGAAATGTGATTTTCTCTTTGAAAGTCAGATACCGTCCGCCAAATGACTTTTTTGTTTCCTCTCTTCAAATTCATTTTAATCACTCATGCGTGAAATATGCATCATATAAGTTGCATCAAATGAAAGAGGAGGATTATAAGCTTTCCAAATATGTGTCATTTGTCAATTATAAATGTGATTAAGCTATGATAAAACATCGAAAATTCTCGGTTTCGTTTTTTCTGGAACGCACTGTATTATTATCCCGATGCAATGTCAAAATCAAATGAAAGAAGTGGATCCAAGCTTTCCAAATAATATGTGTCATTTAGTAATTATAAATTCATTTAAGAGATTGTTTAAACAAAGTTGTAATTTGTGAATGGCTCAGCCGAACATACACTACGTGCATGTTCTGTAATATTAACATGACTTATTCACATAACTGCGACTTAATTAACATTTTCCTATTGACATTACTGTTTACTAGGTTAATGATATATGTTTATTTTGCAAACGAGTATTATTTTTGTGATTGTTCTGTATAAATGTTATAAACGATGTAAATATGTTCATTCAGGGCCCCATGGAAGACCACTACTTGTTGGTGAATGGGCTACCCTTTCAAAAGATTAGAAATAAATAAATAAAAAAATAAATAAAAAAATAAAACATCGATAATTCTCGGTTTCGTTTTTTCCGGGACGCACTGTAAAGTAACTACAACCCAGATGCCTTCATAATTGAAGATGCATTATGGAAGGGTAAGTGTACTATACTCTCATATTTTTTGACAAGAAAGATGAGCTCCCACTTTACTAATATCACTGTTATAAGAGCAAAAGACAACGTTTTCAGTCAAATAGAATGTACAAGTTTCAAGAAGCCTACATTGTGGTTTTTCAGTGAGTCTTCTGTTACCGTACTTTACAAAAAAATTGCTCTTTTTTTCAAACTGAAAATTGTTTGGAATAAATACCCGGTACTCAACGTGCTCAAAGCCATCTTTGAAAAATCTCTCATGATTTTAAGGTTAAGGGAAACAATAATGCGTAGCGTACGTTGGCCAAGTCAATAATAGGGCACTCTGGCAGGGCGGATAGGGGTGGAGACACGATCTTACTAGCTCAAAGGGTCATCTCTTTGGGGGAGGGTGGAAGGAGATCCTATCATTTCAATTTCACGTTCATTATTTTCTATTCTTCCCCTATTCCTATTTCTCTCTAATGATTTTGTTTGCCCCCTGAACCTACGCTACTGATGGGAAGAGAAAGGGGGGCAGGTCTCACTTGATTTGTGTAAAGGAATAGAGACTTCTTGAACATGAGCCCCACTTGATGAAGCAAACGTGTCGATTGTTTCTCGAACCAGACGATCAACTTCTGGATCAGATCCTGGACTACCGAAACCTTCCTTCAAAACGGCCATTCGAATTGATTTCGGATCAAGCTCCTCCAACTGAATTGCAAGAAAAACAAGCATAATTATAATTGTCAAGAGAACACTAAATTGATTGCAAGTCCTTACATGAATTACTAACCCCCTCCTTCCCTCGTCCCCTTTCTTAATCTTCAAATCAATTCATTTGAAGCATATAACTTCGAATACACCTATGCACCTGAAATAGATGGCACCATATTGTCACAGTCACAGAAATTTTGGTGATATTTCATTATTATTGTATCGAAAAAGAAAAAAGAAGGAAATTAATTTGAAGTTAAATTGGAAGGTATTTTTCTATAAAAATATGTTTGAATTGTGGGTAAACCTATACGAAATCCCTAAAGGAGAAAGTCTGAAATCTTATATGGTTATTTGACCGTGGGTAGAAGAACGTTTATTTATTTGAGAGAGTTTTTTAACAAGATGATTCTATTTTCTTGGTTATGGTCTTTAAAATTAAATTATACCACGGAGAGATTAAATAGTCCCATCAAATGATATGTAATTTACGTTGATGAAAGTAACATTCAGAGTTATGAAAATATCTCGAGAGATATCACATAGTTCAAGCGTTTTGACAAAAATGCATGCCGCTACAGACAGTCAAGAAATATTTAGCTGCATTGAGCAAATAGTTTACCTGTTGTGAATAAGAGGGCGTTTTCAAATCATTTGGTTGCCTGGCATCGTTCCCGTTATCATACCCGGCGATTACCTATATTGAGAAACAAAGCTGCAGTGAATAATCAAATCTCTTTTTTCCTTCACTATCATATTTTAACTGCTCTTTACTGCTCATGACGATAGCGAAATATAGAATAACAACATATACATTCACATAATTATACATACATAAACATAAACATAACCAAAAAATTAAGCTCACCTAAAAAGGACGACACTACATAATAAAATAGTGTTTCTCATCTATTATAAAAAATTAAAATACTTGGGCAATCCTAAGAAAATGGGAAATCTTGTCCCCTCGTTCATTTTTGCTATCCAATATCTCTCCTCACTCTTGTTCAGTCTTGATAGCGCAACAAAATGACACATCAACAACCAAGATAAAGCTGTTTTACTCGATTCTACAATCTCTGGGGTCCCCCCCCCCCCAAAAAAAAAAAAAATGAAAAATGAAAAATGGAAAAAAAAGGCCACTTTAAACGTTTTCTCCACCTTTATTCCCAAAGGATGATGGTTGTTTTCCTCAGCCTGAAAGCCCTATATAATATTTTTGTTACGCCAGGTCCTCCATGCATGACCCACTCCCCCCCCCCCAATACATTACCCATCCCCCTCTCCATTGTAAATGCCTGACAGAATAATGATCCAACCTATTGTATGATAATGCCTTTATGTTTTATTTGTATTTTTTTGTAACTTTAAGCTCTAAACATGATATACCTCTAACAGCAGAGCACAGTCTTTAACAGTCCTCGCCATTGGTCCCAAGTGATCAACGACAAACTCCCCGGATAGCGCCCCTGTATACGGTATCAAACCAAAGGTCGCTTTTAAACCAACCAATCCACACCAACTAGCCGGTATCCGAACCGATCCGCCTTGATCACCCCCGATTGCCATGTCCACTTCATTTGTTGCCACCTTCAAAAGAGAGAGAGACAGAGAGAGAGAGAGAGACAGAGAGACAAAGAGAAAACAATTAAATTGGTCCGAAAAACTTATGGGAACTAACCCCATAGGACTATGATGTCCATACATCTTGCTTGTTGATATCATGGATTACGTTTGATTGCGGTGTGAAACATTGATATAGGCGTAGCTGCGGAAAGAGTGAGAGAGAGAGAGAGGAGAGGATATATATAGAGAGAGAGAGAGAGAGAGAGAGAGAGAGAGAGAGGGAGGGGAGTGGATAAGAACAGGAGACGATAGGACCCTTACTCCTTCCTTAACCAGTGGCCCAGTTTTTTTGCACTTAATTTAAAGAGTAAGAACGGTGCCCAATGAACTTAAAAAACACACAGATTGGATGAGAGGTGATGGCGACGTTCTAATGCCAAGCGAATGGTTTGTACTTTAAAAAGTGTTACCATAGAGGGCAATATTAACCTACCGTATATAATGAACAACAACAAATCATGCCTGACTATTTTGTCCGGAATCGACCCCCCCCCCCCCCCCTCCATTTACGAAATCCTCGATCCGCCCCTGATTATTACAAACTCACCAACACTGCACATCCCGAGCTTGACCCGCCAGCGCAGTGACGTGGGTTAAGGGGATTCGTGACTGGTCCTGTTCCACTTGTATAGCTGTTCGCTGAATTACACAATTCTTCGCATGTCGCTTTCCCAAGAATGATTCCCCCTGTCAGAGCAAAGCAAACAAACGTGAAAATAAAGATATCCTATAGGAATGTAATAAAGAAATGACTTATCAGACCTGACAGGTGTTTCATCGACTAAAATTGCATCTTATACTGTAAAAACGCCAGTGCAAGTTTCCGATCTACCTTAGATCGATTAGTACCCGCAGCCAGAGCCATCTATACACAGAGTTCGACCAATTTGGTTTCCGTTGGATACAACATGGCGCATATTTTTCTGTTTTGTGGGTGCTGGCCCAACACGGCAGTTTTCTTTATTATACACCCAACTCAAACCGAGATGACAAAACTCTCCCAATCATCATTGGCACTTCCTGCAGCTTACCTTCGTCTAACACCCACGTGACCACTGTAGCATCAAAATCGGGAACGTATCCTTCAAGACCACTGAATCCGATCGTCATCGGGATTCCCGCTACAGCAATAGAGTCCTTGATTGCAATACGCTTTCCTGATAAGTTCCCATTGTCTGCTCCTGTGATTCTGCATTTGTAGTACCTACAAAACAAAACAATCGAATATTCTCCGGTATCAGAAAAGGAGACGTCTTCTCTCTTTAGGAGTCACAGTGGGATTCATGAATTCCTTTGGAGTTGAATCCACTCAGACCCATAGTGGAGACCACACCAAATTAAAGTGGAATTCACTCTAAAGTAGCAGTTGTATAACTCGTTTATTGTAATTTTAGCATGGATTTCACTCCTAACGAAGGGATTATAAACATGGAATGTGAAGTGGTATGAAATATAAGTTTTAATTTATAATCACATTTTATGTTTATTTTACTATAAGAGGAGCATGTACATCGTTATGAACGAACAGTGCGCCATTTTAATTGACGAGTAAACAAATCCAATGACCTCTAGAGGTCAGTGGTTTGTGCGTAATTAAGATTGCGCCCATGCAAATTGTGATGTTATCATAATTTGTATGGGCGCAATCTTAATTACGCACAAACCACTGACCTCTAGAGGTCATTGGATTTGTTTACTCGTCAATTAAAATGGCGCACACAACCGTAAACTGGTGTATTGGGCCGGTTAATGTAGAACAAAGGTGGGTTGGGGAGGTGTGTGTGTGGGGGGGGGGTAAATAAACTTTTAAATGGTTGACTTAGTTGGGGCCACAAACTTCACTGTCACCAGGATGGAAAGTACATTTTTTTTTAATTCAGTTCAATTTAAAGGCAAAAATAATCACCTCGACTTCAATGATCTTCATATTGTGCCCCATCCCCATTGAAATTTCAATTTTGTCCCGTTCTTTTCATTCTTGCATTCGTCGCCACTGATTTGTTTCAATTTGCCACCCCCCCCCCCCCCCTGTTACACACACAAAATTGTAATAACACTTTACCCACAAATGTAATAACACCCACAAATGTAATAACACTTTACCCACAAATGTAATAATTTCACCCACAAAATGTAATTACCACTTTACCCACAAAATGTAATTACCACTTTACCCACAAATGTAATAATTTTGAAGTGATATTTTGTCGAATTTGTTCAAAACTAAAACCCTGTAATAAAGCATGGGTATAGCGCGCAGTCTTTACTCCAGACCCGGTTATTTCAAAAATTTCAAAAATCTTCAAAACTAAGACCCCATAATCCTTTTCCTGTGGAATAACATGAGAATCGAGCGCAGTCTTTCCTCCAGACCCGGTTATTCAAAAGTAAAAAAAAAAAAAAAACTTTTAAGCTAAGACCCCACCATCTTCCAAACTAAGACCCGGTAATAAAGCATGGGTTTAGAGCGTAGTTTTTCTTCCTGACCCGGTTATTTCAAAACTTTTTTAAAAAATCTTCAAAACTAAGACCCCATCATCTTATTCCTGTGGAAGAACACGAGTATTGAGCGTAGTCTTTCCTCCAGACCCGGTTATTCAAAAGTTAAAAAAAAAACAAAACAAAAACAAAACAAAACAAAACAAAAACCTTTTAAACTAAGACCCCTCCATTTTCGTGCTCAAATCGTAGGAAATTCTGGGAATGAAAAAAATGTTTTATGCATGACCTAATACATAAAACATTTTGTCGATGGCCAATCAACAAACAGTAATTGGCGTATTTTTTACGTCATTGCTCATGAATATTCATTGACCTCCAAAACCGTCGTTCAAATCGGACCAAACCCCCATAATGCATACAATGCAAAACCTGTGGAATGTCAAAGGTCACGATTTTAGTTGGCCCTCTACAGAGGACATACTGTGTATGATCCATAGAGATATCTCTATGGTATGATCGAATCTCTTTGAATTTATATGCATTTGAACAAAACAAAACGAATGCATATGAGAAATACATAATATATATTTTGTTAACCGCGTAGCTCATTTCCAACCATGAAATACAGGCTTTAAAAAAAGCCTCATGTCAGGTTTACCGGCTACACTGTTTTGTTACCGTTTACGATGAATATGTGATAAGATACACGTAATGTCAATTGATTACTAGTATAGCAATGCAGGATTTTTGAACTGTCCACGTGGCATCATCTCTATTCTCAAAAGTAAATTCATGGTTGAAACCCCAAAATGCAAATCCTTTCAAGAAATCGACTCAAAGGCAAATTCAAGACCATTTTGTGATACATGTAGAATATATTTTCGGATTATGTACATGTAATATTAAGTCATTGTATTGTTCGCTAATTTTCGCCCATTGTTCGCTGATTGAAATTGCCTTGATTAGATTTATTGAAAGTCTTTGCGATGGGGTTGGTAGAAAGAAGCCTTGATATCTTTACCATGCATTGTGAGGGTTCTCTTCCCTTGTAGGTCGGTAACCCGGAGTTCGTGGATACTTCACCGGTAGACTGGGTTCGACCAGGTCATCGAGTTGGTTCACCATCTCCAAGGAGTCGTTGATGACTGACTGATATTCTTTGAGTACGGTACTCCCTTCCAATCCGAGATTGAGCTCGGCGGAGATGTCCTCTAGTTCCTTTACCGTCGGTCCCGTCACCATCGGGGAAACATATATAGGATCTTCTAAGATTTAAACGACGAGAAAACGCAGTGGTTTTAAATATGATTACATTAAGAGGAGGCGCGATAGCTCAGTCGGTAGAGCAGTGGTCTCGTAAACCGGTGACCCGGGTTCGAAACCAAGGCGATGCGCTAGTGCCCTCTGGTAAGGCATTAATCCTCATTACAAGGTCCCTCGGAGAAGACCTAAAGCCGTCGGCCGTCTGGTTGCTTACTTACAAACATTTATGCTTTCTTAGCAGTCAGGTAAAATAACCACCACCACCAAGTACAAATTAATATGGACTTAAATAACGCCTAAAGCGTGTTGCCTATTGCTCTCTAAAAAAATCGAGTGATCACGGACGTCACTCCTCTGGAGAGTGAAAAAGTAATGAAAATAGAGTAAACATTCACTCTTTTCTTCTTAGAGAGCACTCCAAAATCGATCGATACTCACTTAGTGATCACGGACGTCACTCCCAAGAAAGTGAAAATTCACTCTTTTTTTTAAAGAGAGAGTGGGGCTTCATATTTTGCTGTCGTGTGACGTACTGCATTAGCTAGAGCGAAGAATTTAAATATTGCTTAGATTTACTTGACATGTTTGGTTAGGGGGAATAATAAGCAATCGAAAAGATGCCTAGTGTACATCGGACATAATACATCCACGATGTTTCTAAGCGCTAAACAGAAAGGTCATGACATTAGGTCTACTCCTGTCATCGGAATCGGTCTTGCGCGCTCACAAAACGTGTAAATTGATATCATCATAGTACTCTTAGTCATAATGTAATAAGCGCTCCAAATACAAGCACTAGCACACGCACTGTCTTGCACAAGCACATACACAAATAAGAACAAAAATAAATCGTTTCATAAAAGACATACACTTACATAATATACAAAATTACACTTAACGCATTTCATTGTATGCCTTAAGAAATTATTTCCTTGATTATGTGGCTGTTATAATTAATTAATTGTTGATTATATATAAATTATAGGATTGGTCGCCCATACAGTGCGTATACAAAAAAGTATACCCAACTTGGTTGCTCCTATAATTAAATACTCATAACCAATATGACTTTGAAATGTATTTCAAGATAAAGAGTAGCTTATTTTCTGTCAAAATTAATGATACCCTATTCATAATAAATATTGATATATGATTCAAGGTCACATAGATTTATAGCTTTATAATTAGCAGGCCCGTAGTCAGAGTTTGATGTTTGGGGGGGGGGCACATACATGTAATTGATCGACGTCCTGGGGAGGGGTCTAAAAAAGTTCAACCGATCTTGGAAAAAAAATTGGGGGCACGTTCCCCCCTCCCACCCCCAGTGCCCCCTGTGACTACGTGCCTGATAATTCGAAGTTACCAAAGTGAGGTACACTTTTTTCCAAATTAAATTTGAAGGTAGAAATTTGCAATCTTTTTCAGTGGGTCTCTGGCCCACCACATTATAAGTAGTCACAAATCTAAAAGCAATCAATAAAAAGTTAAAGTTCAAATACAAGTCGCTGATTCAAATATTTCTTCTTCTTTATCTGTGCGAAATTTGGGTGTCAACTTCGATAGCATGATGACAATGGATATTCAAGTGAAAAGAATTTGTCAAAGTGTGTATTCCCAGATAAGAAATGTCTGGAGTATCATCAGGAAGGTTCTTTCAGATAAGGCAGCTGCTGTAAACGTTCACACATTTATAACATCACGTTTAGATGGTGGAAATTTGCGATCTGCAGGTAAATACCTGCTTGAGAGTCCTCGAACACGCTCTCTTCTAGGGGATCGAACATTTACTGCCTGTGCATCGAGATTGTGGAATGGTCTTCCCCCAAAATCCTTTTCTCTTGTCACCAGTTATCCACTTTCAGAACTCGACTAAAGACATACCTATTTCAGATTGCTTACATTATTAGTCACTGCTTTTTTGTCTTTCACAGTTAGAATCACGAACAGATATTGTTGGTAGTTTTTCAGTCTCATAAGCGCCTTTGATTGGGCCATTAAAAATATGTGTACATGTTTAGCGTCCCCGTCCGCTTCCTTTTGGGGAGCCGCCTCCTTTTTTTTTTGTTGCAATTTTAAAAAAATAATTTTTTTAAAGAAAAAAACAATGCTAAAATGGTTGCATTTGTGATTTGAAAAAAAAAAAAAAAAAATGTTGGCGGTCATCTCGAAAAATAGCCCGACTGTCAGGGAAAATGTACCAAGCGGCGATTTTGAGCGGCGATTTTGAAAGAAAAAAAGGCCTCCTCCTTCCTATTTTACATAAAAGCAGGACGCTAAACATGTTTTTTTTTTTATTTGGCCTTAGGCAACTAGATATTGGCGCTTTATAAATACCTGGATTGGAAATTCGGTTAAAGTATGGAACCGGAGCATGATCCGCTCAATCTCTATCAATAGGTGAGAATAACACTTTGTCGTTAATCCACAGGTACCTCATATTCGTGTGCAATATATCACGCGTGCCATAATAGACGAGGTCTTTATCATGTCAGGAATAATCGTTTCAAGCAAATATATTATACATACATAATTATATTCAAATCCCACACTGATAGATGCTATACAGGTAAGCAAAAACATTAAACGCATGCTATAGATACCTCTTTTGTCAGCGGTAGTCATCTCTAATTGCAAATGATGCTGTACTAAAGAACTTGATTTCACGACCCCGTTTATTTATTGGCTTCCTTTCAAATTCGTTAGTAGGCCTATACCATAGCGCACGAATTCTGTTGGGACTTGTTCATCCGACACATGCAGCCTTTGTATTGCTAATACTTCTCCCGCGTTATTGATTTATGTATTCACTCAGTCTTCGCTAAAACCACAAACAGGGTAGCCCCATTCAGTGCCATATAGGCCTGTGGTATGTATCGGGTGGATAATTATTACAATGCATAAAGTCAAAACGGCATTACAGTGATTTAGTAGCTACTGAGCCAATCGCATGCAATATACTTGTGTAAATGGGATTCATTCCCATTCACAAAAGATGCAATGTGGAATACCGCAGGGGTCAAATTTTGGCCCACTGCTATTTATCATATTTATTAATGATATGCCTTTATGTCTGAAAACATGTAAAATATCTTAATATGCTGATGATACGTGTCTTTATTACGCTAGTACAAAATTTATCATCATAATGTTGATATGCCAAATATACTTGTGTACTATTGTGTGGTTATATTTGTATGTTAAGCAATCGACGAAATCTAAAATACGAAATGTCATCATAACTATACAGCATTAATTGAAGGACAACGCTCATGTAAATACATGTACATTTATGCAATCATGCATTTACTCTCATAATATGATGTGTCATCGAAACTTTAAAAAGAATCGAATCATTGTTTTGTTTCGTTTCCTTTTGATGAATAAAATATTGCATTGTTCAAGGACTTTATGAAAGTAAAATTTAGGAAACGTTTTGTAGTATATTACTTTCTGCATGGACGTGTGGTGCAGATAATGGCTTAAGAGCATGACATAAATCAAATTAGGTGAATGAATGAATGCTTGAAGGAAATTATAATTGGCCAATATACCAGATTCCCCCTCCCCCATTTTCCGATTAAAAGTGTGTAGCAAGAATCCCTATTCAGTGAAGGATTCATCCTTTTTATGCAGATGCTTCTTCTACCATTCTTGACCAGAAGTGCGTTTCAAACTCAATGATATGGGCATCATCCCATTGAATGTTGTGTCCAGTGTTACGGGTTTGTTTTGCTACTTGCTGCCTAATCTGAGGGCTCTGTTGTGCTCTTTAAAAAGAGGACACAATAGGGGCAGCGCAATTTAAATATCAAGGAATGTATTAGAGTTTATTTCTAAAATGAAATGAAAGGGATATTTGACTTTCAAGAGCGACAAAAACTCTAATCCATCCCTTGAAATTTAAATTGCACTGCCCCCATTCAGTGTGCTATTTTCAAAGAGCACAAAAAGGCTTCAGATTGAAGATTCCATCTCATAAAATTGTCTATAAGAGAGAAAGAGAGCCTTATTTCTGAAATGAAAGGGCTATTTGACTTTCAAGAGCGATAAAAACTCTAATCCATCCCTTGGAATTTAAATTGCACTGCCCTCATTCAGTGTGCCATTTTAAAAGAGCACAAAAAGGCTTCAGATTGAAGATTCCATCTCAAAAAATTGTCTATAAGAGAGAAAGAGAGTTTATTTCGAGAGAAAATATGAAATGAAAGTGGCGATTTTACAAGAGCCCTTTCATTTCATTTTAGAAATAACCTCTCTTCCTCTCTTATAGACAATTTTCTCTCTTGAAAGTCAATAACCCTTTCATTTTGTTTTAGAAATAACCTCTTTTTTCTCCTAAAGACAATTTCTCTCTTGAAAAGGCTCTGCCAGGCCCCTCAAGCTCTGCCATGTTGTATGGATCCATTAGAAAGCAAAATAAGCCCACTCAATAATTAATATATATTAAAACGTCATAGCGATTCATCCAAATAAGAAATCGACGTAAGAGGCATTTTGAAAGTTTTAAGAAAATTCCTTCAAATTCCAGGATATTGGATGTTATTTTTTCAGGAAACTCTATTTAAACGAGTGGAAGCACTGGCGGTTCTGTTTTTTTAAACTGTTACAATTCTCCTTGGATCAGATATAGACCAAAAACAAGCCTCATTATCTTCAGTATACAAGTGTCATTTCGGACCTTACAGCTTTCATAGAAATCGCTTCTGGACCGTCAAAGAAAAAGTTTGAGAACCCCTGGTCTACGCATTATACACATCAGGACCAACTTGACAACTTGAAAAAAATTTGAGGGGGGTTCGACCCCCCCCCCCCCCCCCCCCCCCCGCGTACGCGCCTGCATGTGCATCCCTCTCTCCTTATTCCCTTATCCATCGTTACCGTCACTACCATTTGAGTAGGACCGGCCCCCTCCTTAATAACGACTCCCAAGCCATCAAGAATGACCCCATAATTTATAGATTACCATTCTGCCGTTCTTTGGAGGGGCCGGGCGCGGCCTTTTCAGAAGTGTTTCTACACTAACCTTTTCATGCACTACGGCTTAACTATGGAAGCGTTAAAGTGCCATTCTACTTGACGACATGACAAGATATTTCATCTTGTCAAGTCGACTTAATATCCCTATCATGTCGACATGTAAAGATATTTAACCTACCATGTCGACTAATCAACTTTTATTAGTCGACATGGCGAAATAAATTATCTTGCCAAGTCGACTTCACAAAAAGTTCATGTCGTCATGGCGACATAAGTTATCTTACCAAGTCGACTTCTAAAAAAATACATGTCGTCTTGGCGACATATATTATCTTACCAAGTCTACCCAAAAAGTAATGTCGACATGGCGAAATAAATTATCTTGCCAAGTCGACTTCACAAAAAGTTCATGTCGTCATGGCGACATAAGTTATCTTACATGCACCATCAATGGTGATCGTGAGGCGATCGAGGGACCGGGATCAGGACTAAAGTCACTAGACCTAGACTAGTCGACTGTGAATGAACTACACGTACGCGCGCTGCATGAAATAGTCGTCACACTACATATCTCGCCATGACGACATATACTTCTTGGGAAGTCGACTTGGTGAGATAATTTATGTCGCCATGTCGACATTACTTTTTGGGTAGTCGACTTGGTAAGATAATATATGTCGCCAAGACGACATGTATTTTTTTAGAAGTCGACTTGGTAAGATAACTTATGTCGCCATGACGACATGAACTTTTTGTGAAGTCGACTTGGCAAGATAATTTATTTCGCCATGTCGACTAATAAAAGTTGATAAGTCGACATGGTAGGTTAAATATCTTTACATGTCGACATGATATGGACATTAAGTCGACTTGACAAGATGAAATATCTCGTCATGTCGTCAAGTAGAATGGCACTTTAACGCTTCCGTACTTAACATAAACAAGCATGCTAAGATTTTTTTTAAAAGAAGCATAATTTCGACTCAGTTTCGCATAACCTAAAAAAAGGAATACGGCCAGTCACCCCTCCCCCCTCCCCTCAATGCATCCGCCTTCACGCACCCCCCCCCCCCCTTCCCCTTGTCTTTCCCTTATTCGTCGTTACTGTCACTAATTTTTAATGCCATTTCGTTGTCTTTCTTTCTCCCCGGCTCCTCTCTTCTTTTTCTTTCCTCTTTTTTGAACTCTCTCTCTTTTCTTTACTTTTTTGTTCTCTTTTCTTTTACCTTCTCCTTTTCCCCCCTTTTTTTTTCTTTCTTTTTTTCTTCCTCTTTTTTCCTTCTCAATTTTTTTGCGCCGCCAATAGGGGGGCCGCGGCCGTTTCGGCCCACCCCTGGATCCGCCACTGCTCATACATTTCATTTCTTACCTAAATAGATACGTTCTGAGTATTCTGTATTGGTGGTCGAACGTTGAATTTACTTCCTCATTTGCAGATGGTTCGCCATTTGCAATATGTGGTTTGTGAAATATTTCCAAACTCCTTCCTCAAATTAATAGTGTAAGTGGTACAATGTTTAGATCGGTATGGTTATTAAAAAAGAAAAAATAAACTTTGTTCGGGAAACGTTATTAAGTACAGGCGATTATGATTGAATCGTTGCCAAGCGAATCAGGTCAAAACGAGAAGAAAAAAAAACTGTTTATAGAAATTGAATTAGGGAAAGATACGCACGTATTGGCCATAGTTTACTAATTGACCTTCATTCTCCCATATTTTGTTTAAGTAAGTTCTTGAGATGAAGGGGATAATTTAAAGTAGTTCCCATATAAAGAAGAGATAATTTACAATTGTTCGGCATTTGCAATTTGGGGCTTGTTAAATCTTTCCAAACTGCTTCTTCAAATTAATAGTGTAAATAGTACAATTATTAGTTTGGTATGGTTTTTAAAAAGAAAAATGTAAATGTTCAGGAAACGTTTGTAACTACATTACTACAGGCGGTTAAGAATGAATCGTTGTCAAGCGAATCAGATCAAAATTGAACAGAAAACTGTCTATAGAAATTGAATTAGGGAAAGATACGCACGTAAAGACCTAACTTTAGTGACGGACCTTCATTCTCCCATATTTTGTTCAATGAAGATCTAGAGATGAAGCGGATAATTTTAAGTAGTTGCCACATAAAATGAAAAATAAAAATTGACGGCACCAACGATAATCAGAATAGAAATGAGCCCAGCAGCAGGCGCGTAGCCAGGGGGGCGGTGGGGGCGGTCGCCGGCCAAAAAAACGCCGGCCAAAAAAAAGAGAGAGAAAGAGAAGAAAAAAGTAAGAGGACGTAGGAAGAAAAAGGGAAAAGGAGTCGAGAACGGTACAACGAATCGTCTTCTTTCTCTAATAATTTAATGAAACGTGAAAGCTTCGCGCGAGAGGGGGGGGGGGGAACAGAAATCAGACAAGGATTAAGAAGTCGAGAACGGTACTTTGAGTCGTCTTCTTTCTCTAATAATTTAATGAAACTTCAAAGTTTTGCGCGGGAGGGGAGGAAACTGAATTCAGATAAGGATTAAGAGTCGAGAACAGTACATCGAATCGTCTTCTTTCTCTAGTAAATTAATGAAACGTCAAAGCTTTCGCGCTTCGCGCGGGAGGGGGACTGAATACAGATGAGGATTAAGAGTCGAGAAAGGTACAACGAATCATCTTCTTTGTCTAATAATACGTCAAAGCTTTCGCGCTATGCGCAGGAGGGGCGGACTGAATTCAGACAAGGATTGCGAGTCGAGAAATGTACAACGAATCGTCTTCTTTCAAAGCTTCCGCGCTTCGCGCGAGAGGGGGGAAACTCCCCCCTCCCTGCATCCACCCCCCTAGGTAGCGCGCTGCGCGCTCTCTTTAAGTGATTCGCACGCTTCTTTTTTCAGCGTACCGTTATCATCCCTACACTTTCCATATTTTGGTTTTATATGAGTGGCGCGGATCGAAAAAGTGCAAAAGGCGGGGGGGGGGGCTGACTGCCCCTATCATGGTAAAAACAAAAGATGAACTATTATCCTCATTTATTCATGATATAGCAAGAACGGTATGGAGAGGAGCATGCAGTTCCCCCAATGATAACAACAGAGGGCATAGTTGTAAACTGCACTAACTGATGATGGAAGCATGAATTAAATGAAGGATGCATCAAACTGAATGAGCTCATGCGAAATAAATCAGAATGGAAATGTATGAATAAATAGTCAATGGAAAATAATTACGATTGTTTTAGTATCTAATACATGTATATGCAAATGTTTTTGCGTCTAATAAAGTTATGGTGTTCCTGTTCTATATCATCTATATCATCAAGGTAACAGCATTGGCATGAACGGCAGAACCAGCATGGTGGTGGAAAAAAGCCTCTATGATGCAATACTACACCCCACACCCCTCCTTATAATTATGAACAATGCCCTTTCCTCATCAATACTGTGTGCCCTTCATCAAATGTAAAGCCAAATGCTGCCCCATTTAGATTTGCCCGAAAAGCAAATGAGAAGTTACCGGATAGATGTCCATACTTATTAAGTTATTTTCGATATTCAAGTTTCAAGACTCAAATTTCAAGTTTGATGTTTGAAGTTCAAGTTTCAAATTTTATATGTTCCACATTTTACAAAAGATTATAGACATACATAGAAAATATGAATTATATACATATCAATGCAGTATGAGCACGTCTCAATGATACTCCCTTCATATGATAAATATAGAATGCGAGGAACTTATTGAAAAGCAATGCTTCTATAATTATAGGTTCCTGGTAAAATAGACATTGTAGATGTAAAAAAAAATCGTAGTATTAGAGAAATACGTAATTTAGAGGGGAAATTTAAAACACAATGGAATAAGGAAATTTGTATACAAGTGCATTAGCACCAATACCCAGAGTCACCCGCTTAAAATGCGTAGTCACCCGAGCAATTTAGTTAAAAGCAAGGCACCGTTGAACGAATTATAATTACATGAAGGTTCAAGCTGGATAAGATTACTAGGAGAAAACCACAAAGGTAAATGTTACACAGTTTCCCGAGTGAAATGATAATTTTTAAGAGTTCAGAATAAAACCTTGTATACATCAGGCCGTCCATGAAAAGAGAATGCAAATTAGATTAGATAGTACTCTGAGAAACTTACGTAGCAACATGCAATTCGTTCATACGCATTCAATAGGTTTAGAAATAAAGTATTTTTTGTTAAATACAAGTCATTAATAACCGGAACATGCATCATTAATTAACAATTAAGATTAGCATTGGAGAAAAAAGGAAAAAGGGGGCAAACAAATGATATTACTAGGCATAATACATTAAAAGATCACTGGGTGTTCCTCTGATTCTCTCTACCCAGATTCCTCAGACGACAAAACTTTGCTTTCGATAACCGATGCTTTCAAACTAGTGGAACATTGTAAGAATTTCAGTTCCTAGAATTTAATTCACGTTGTGTTGCCGGTGTGTGACGGAAAAGTTTCAGATAACATACAACTTCATAATAATATTCCCATAAAATTGTGAGAAATTTGAGTGTATTATGGATGGTGACCGCGAAGTTTGTCACGTGACTGATGCAGCTTAGCCAATCAGTGAACGCTATTCACGTATTAATGAAGGTCACAATCCCCCCCCCCCCCCCCCCACCCCCCGCCCGCCTTGTACGCCCAGGGTCATTATATAACTGTTTGTAGCATGTTATGGGCAAGCAACATGCGTATTATCCGAACCCAAAATATCACCAGTGTGAATTTTTAAAAGTCAAATTTGAGATTTTCGATAAAAGTAGTCAATTCGGACTACTCATAGATCATCAATATCACAGAAAGAAAGTTTGACAATTAACGCTTCACCGACTTGTATATGGAAAATACATGGTCACGGCACGCAATATTTTGTAGCACTTTAATCACATGATTCGATTATGTTGCATTATTGTGTACTGTCATTGATGAAATTCTCAAAGGCCTGAGCTATTTGCAAGAGTCGGAGTTCGTTGAATTTCTTAGAAGTCAACAAAAGCCCGACCGGTAATCCGCCGAGACTCCTGGCATTGATAGTGATCGAAGGATGCCCCGTCAAATTCCCGGATGTGAGATTCGTGTCCATGTTTAGAGCAAATGCGATCGTTTCTGTATGAATAAAACATGTATGAATATACTTTACAGAAACAAAACAAAAAACTGACGTGGGGATGAAAATCTATTCTTTTATCTGGGAAACATGAAGGAATACTGTAAGAAATAAAAAGTACGACTATACAATTGCTGTTACCACAGTATATTGTGGTCTATAATCTAAAAATATAAATTGTGTCAATAAACGTCAGCGTAATGGAACTCCTATTTAAATCATCTCACTCACAGTGAGCCTATACAAGTTGTCATTATAACCAATATACAATGTATATTAAAAGAATATGAAAAAAAAAAAAAACTAGAACTAGAACGATTATTTGAATTACACAGTAAACAAACCCAATTCAACGAATAATTTATAGTTCTTTGTTTGTATGTTGTTGTTGTGTTTTTAATCAAATGTTACCTTTGATCGAGGCATTACGTTCCAACATGGGCGGGGCTGTGAAGGGAACCGTTGGCATGACAACCACGTCACAATCTACCAAGACATCATTAAATTCTTTTTCGAGTTGCCTCTTTAGATTCTGAGCCTTGCCGTACAAATGACAATAATTCTTCTTCAAGAAAGTGCCTTCTATTAGATGGGCCTGTTTTGGAAAAAGGAACATTTTTATACCAAATTGAAATGGAAGCGATTACATTTTACATCGACAAAGACTCAACTAATTTCAAACGTCGATTATAATATGAAAGAGCGGAAAGAGATAAATAGAGAGAGCACGGGGAGAGTTGGGGAGGGATGAAAGAAGGGGGAGTTGTAGAGAGAGAGAGGGGGGTGTTGGATAGAGAGAGAGAGGGAGAGAGAGAGAGAGAGAGAGAGCGGGGGAGATAGATCGAGAAAGGGAGTCGGTTGTTCATTTGCTTTCCTACTTTATTTATGGGATGAAGGTTCTTAGTATTGTGTTTAAGACGAGCTCCAACATCCCTCATCATACTAGTAGCATAGTATCCTGTGTGATGCAATCCAACACCTGAAAGAGAGAGGGGAAAATGTGACGAAGATCATAATCAGCTGATCATCAGGTAATGTACTTTGACAGAGGATACAATAATGCCTTAAGAGTTTTCTTCACATTTTGAAAGACATAATACAGAATGGTATCAGTACTGGGACATTGATAAAACTACAGTTTAAAAAAACCTATAAAATATGAACGAAATGGAAACCCGACTTATTAATGGACTAATCAACCGTTATTTCAATTTTAAGCGGGTAGCAAAAAATCATCTGGCTTTCGGGCGCCTTGTGATGTGTTACAAAATCAATTGTCCCGTGACGAAATCCATCTTTCTAACTGATTTTGTCTTGGAAAACTCATAATATCTTAACATAGAAATAGATTAAATGTATGTTCAATGTAACATCTATCTCAAATTTTGTTACAAATCGAAGATAAATAATAATAATAACAATAATATTCCGGTTTTATATAGCGCTTAATACACCGACGATGTCTCTATAAGCGTTTTACAGATATATATTATTACCCCGGTCATCGGATTCAGTCTGCCCACATACAATGTATGCACCTTCTCCTCTCCCTGGGGAGCATTGAATTGAATTGAATTGATATCTTTATTTATACACGGTTAAAAAAGCCCAAACAGTTACAAGACTGATTTCCATTGGGGCCGTGTGAAACAATGTAAATACATCGAATGAACATAGAAATGATAATGGACATCAAATGACATATTTAAAACAAACAAGAAATAATCAAGATAAATATCTAAAAAGATAACGATAGAATAGTACTGCCGAAAACGTATATTAATATGAATAACAATAATCATGAGTGTCCAAACAAAAGTACTGTATATATACTTCAAATTAAAATAGGTAATACGAATCGTTACTAGTGCATATAAACTGCCAGAAATGATATATACAAAATATAAAAAAGTAAAATGTGGCTGGCCAAGATACTGCATTATTACAATTATGGATATGATTACAATTTTATTTTATTTAAGTCAGTAAAAGAACACTTGAAAGTGAATTGAAATAACAAGCACAGCAGATAAAACTCTATTATTTAATCATTTTCGGATAAAATGAAATGAAACTATATTACATCATATGGAAATTTAAAAATACCCGAACAGATATATACACAACAATTTAAATTCAAACAACACACAAATGGACACATCAAAAATAAGAAGGAAACATTCGAAAGTTCATAGACATATTTGAGCATAGTATACTGTATATGATTATAAATTGGTTATTCTTTTAAGTCCTGTTGTGAAACTGTACTTGGTTTGTGCAGCTTGCAATTCGTGTGGTAGTGAGGTCCATAGGCAAGCGCCTCTGTACACAAATGTGCGTTTGGTACTATCCGTTTTAGGCTGGATTGTCTTAACACATAGATTGCCACTTCTCGTATTATATGGTCTTTCTCTAAACGAAAATGTATCAATTAGATAAGAAGGGGCTTTTTTATTAAGTATTTTGAAAGTCATTAAAGCGATATTTTCTTTCCTTTTCTGTTCAAGCGTATCCCATCCAAGTTTATTAAGGTTGAAGTGTCCCGATGAATCCCAAGGGGTATCATTTATTATTCGAGCTGCCCGATTTTGAATTTTTTGGAGATCATTTTGTAGGCACTTTCCACAGTTTCCCCATATTACATCACAATAGGAGAGGTGGGATAAAATCAATGCATTATATACTAATTTCAATGTATCTTTACCAACAATATTACGTATTGATTTTAACATAAACAATCCACTACTACATTTCTTTTGTACAGATTTAATATGGTCTGTCCATGATAGAGTTTCATCCATAATCACTCCTAAATACTTGCACGTAGTAACTCTTTTCAGAGGGGTTCCATCTATGTTAATATTCAAATTTGTATTACTAGCTAGTTTTAGACGATTTTTTTGTTCCTAGTACAATGTATTCTGTTTTATTTATATTTAAACTTAACTTATTGACATCAAGCCATTTTTTCACATTTACTAAATCTTCGTTTACCTTGTTTTCCAGTTCAGAAAAGTCATTACTAGCATAATATAAAATAGTGTCATCAGCATACATATTTATTTTGCAATTTTTTAGTATCAAGGGTAAATCGTTGATGTGCATAATAAAGAGAAGAGGTCCAAGGATTCCGTTTCTTCATTCCTTCACTCCATTTACTACCATGATCAGTTGACTCACTCACCTGCCGTCGTATATATCATATCGATTCCACCAATGTCTCCAATAACAGTACCAATGGCTATACCTGTCAGTGAAATATACTAAAAAATCAGGTTATTTGACTAAAATAAAATTCTCAAGAATTAACATAGTCGGCAAACATAGCTAACATATCATTTGGCCGACGAGGTTGTTTTATCCAAAGGAAAGATTGCAGTGTTTGAAATTGCATCGGGATATGGTAACTAAAACCCAGATGTCTTCATAAATAAAGATGCATTATTGAAGGGTAAGTGTACTATACTCTTACATTTTGACAAGAAAGATGAGCTCACACTTTACTAATATCACTGTTATAAGAGCAAAAGACAAAGTTTTCAGTCAAACAGAATGTACAGGTTTCAAGAAGTTTTAATTTGGTTTTTCAGTGAGTCTTCTGTTATTTTGTTTTACAATTTGCTTTTTTCCTTCTTATTTCAAACTACCAATTGTTTGGAATAAATACTCAACATGCTCACAGCCATCTTTAAAAAAATCTCTCATGATTCTTATAGGGTAAGGGAAACAATGGCGTAGCGTACGTAGGCCAAGTCAATAATAGGGCACTCTGGCAGGGCGGAAAGGGGTGGAGACACGATATACTAGCTCAAAGGGTCATCTCTTCGGGGGAGGGTGGAAGGAGATTCTATCATTTCAATTTCACGTTCATTATTTTCTCTTCTTCCCCTATATTCCTATTTCTCTCTAATGATTTTGTTTGCCCCCTGAACCTACGCTACTGATGGGAAGAGAAGGGGTGGGGGGGGGGGGGGGTCTCACTCGATTTGCGTAAAGGAATAGAGACTTCTTGAACATGAGCCCCACTTGATGAAGCAAACATGTCGATTGTTTCTAGAACCAGACGATCAACTTCTGGATTAGATCCTGGACTACCGAAACCTTCCTTCAAAACGGCCATTCGAATTGATTTCGGATCAAGCTCCTCCAACTGAATTGCAAGAAAAACAAGCATTATATTGTCCAGAGAACACTAAATTGATTGCAAGTCCTTACCTGAATTACTAACCCCCTCCTACCCTCGCCCCCTTTCTTAATCTTCAAATCAATTTATTTGACGCATATAACTTCGAATACACCTATGCACCTGAAATAGATGGCACCATATTGTCATAGTCATTCGAAATTTTGGTGATATTTCATGATTATTTTATCAAAAAGGACAACAAAAGGACGTTAAATTGAAGTTACGTGGGGAGGTATTTTTATATAAGTAAAACTGAATATGTTTCAATTGTGGGTAAACGTGGGGTAAAGGGGAAAATGTGAAATGTTATATGATTATTTGACCGTGTTTAGAAAAAAGTTGTTATTAATATGAGAGAGAGAGGGGTATTTAACGAAATGTTTCTATGATTTTGCTCATGGCCTTTTTTAAAGCTAATATAATACCCTGGAGAGATGAAATAGTTCCATCAAATAATATGTAATTTACGTTGAAGAAAGTAACATTCAGAGTTATGAAAATACGTCAAGAGATATCACATAATTTAAGTCATTATCAGAGGAATTATCACGTGGTGGTCCAAAGCGTTTTGACAAAAATGCATGTTGTATATAGCGGCATTCGAGGAATGTTTAGCTACGTTGAGCAAATTGTTTACCTGTTGTGAATAATAGGGCGTTTTCAAATCATTTCTTTGCCTGGCATCGTTCCCATTATCATAGCCGGCTATAACCTATAAATTGAGAAACAGAACGGCAATGAACACAATTTTTTTTCTGTCACAATAATATTTTTACCGCTCTTTACTGATCATGACAATAGCAATATATAGAGTAAGAACATATACATACACATAACTTTTATTTTTAATTTTATATACATAAACATAAATATATCCAAACAATTAAGAACACCTTAACAGGACGACACTACAGAATAAAATAGTGTTTCTCATCTATTATATAAAATTAAAAAAGCTTGGGCACTCCCAACAAAATGTTTTCCCCTCGTTTATTTTTTCTATCCAACATCTATCCTCACTCTTGTTCAGTCTCGACAGCACAACAGAATGACACAACAACAACCAAGAAAAAGTTGTTTTACTCGATACTACAATCTCTAGGGGGAGGGAATCATGAATATACCCCCCCCCCCTAAAAAATAATCTTAAAAAAAAAAACGAGCCACTTTAAACGTTTTCCACCATCTTTATTCCCATATGATGGTGGTTGTTTTCTCAGCCTGAAAGCCCTATGTAATATTTTGTTACGCCAGGTCCTCCATGCACGACCCCCCCCCCCCCCGCCCCCTTAATTTCAAATTTCAAAAGTTTATTGTATGATAATGCCTTTATATTTTGTTTGTACTTTTTTGTAACTTAGCTCTAAACATGATATACCTCTAGCAGCAGAGCACAGTCTTTAACAGTCCTTGCTATTGGTCCCAAGTGATCAACGACAAACTCCCTGGATACTGCCCCTGTGAACGGTATCAAACCAAAGGTCGGTTTTAAACCAACCAATCCACACCAACTAGCTGGTATCCGAACCGATCCGCCTTGATCACTCCCGATTGCCATGTCCACTTCATTTGTTGCCACCTTCAAAAGAGAGAGAGAAAAAAATATATAATTCGTCACGAGAAATGCTGCCCTATCTAAGTTTGCCCGATAAAACATATGTGAACTAACCACAAAGGATTATTGTCCATACATCTTGCTTGTCGATATCATGGATTACGTTTAATTGCGGTGTGAAGCATTAGAGGAGTAGCTACGGGAAGAGAGAGAGAGGGTGGGGTTGGATGAGAACAGAAGATGATAGGACCCCTTGTCCCTCCCATGAAAGGCGATCTTGTTAAATCGCACTTAATTTACGGAGTAAGAACTGTATCCCCTAGGTGAAGACGTATCGAATTGGAGGTGATGGCGACGTTCAAATGCCAAGCGAATGGTTCTTACTTCAAAATATGTTACAAGTGATAGATATAGAGGGTATTATTAACCTACCGTAAATGATGAACAGCAACAAATCATGCCTGACTATTTTTTTCCGGAATCGACCATCCCCCCTACTCCGTTTACAAAATCCTCGATCCGCCCCTGATTACTACACACTCACCAACACTGCACATCCCGAGCTTGAACCGCCAGCGCAGTGACGTGGGTTAAGGGGATTCGTGACTGGTCCTGTTCCACTTGTATGGCTGTTCGCTGAATTACACAATTCTTCGCATGTCGCTTTCCCAAGAATGATTCCCCCTGTCAGAGCAAAGCAAACAAACGTGAAAATAAAGATATCACAGGAATGTAATAAAGAAATGACTAATTGGACCTGGGAGGTGTTGCATCAACAAAACTTGAATCTAACACCAGGGGCGGATCCAGCCGGCGGCAGGGGAGGGGGCCCAATTCTTGAGAAAATATTTAGCGGCGAAATAGCCGGCCGATAATTCGCTCAGTGGGGGGGGGGGGGGGAGGGGTAGTAAACACTAATTTTTTTTTGGCCCTCAAAAATTTGAAAAATTGCATCTCCCCCCCCCCCCCCTCCTTGAGCGTCAGGGGAGGGGGCTTGGGCCCACCGCCCCCCCCCCCCCACTGGATCCGCCACTGCCAATACCACATAACACCGGTGCAAGTTTCCGATCTACCTTAGATCGATAGGTATCCGCAGCCAGAGCCATCTATACACAGAGTTCGGCCAACTTGGTTTCAGTATTACAGCATGGCGAATATTCTTCTATTTCATAGTGGCTTAACAAGGCAGTATTCGTTATTATACGCCGAACTCAAACCGAGATGGCCAAACTCTCCCAATCATCAATGGCACTTCCTGCAGCTTACCTTCGTCTAATACCCACGTGACCACCGTAGCATCAAAATCGGGAACATATCCTTCAAGACCACTGAACCCGATCTTCATCGGGATTCCCGCTACAGCAATAGAGTCCTTGATTGCAATACGCTTTCCTGATAAGGTCCCTCTGTCTGCTCCTGTGATTCTGCATTTGTAGTACCTACAAAACAAAACAACAAAATATGTAATTGAATCAGAAAAGAAGACGTCTATAATCTCTTTAGGAGTCAGAGTGGGATTCATAAATACCTTTGGAGTTGAATCCACTCAGACCCATAGTGGAGTCCACTCCAAATTAAAGTGGAATTCACTCTAAAGTAGCAGGTGCAATAACTCTTTGATCGGTATCTGATTAGGAGGAGATACTCAGTGAGTTTCACCATATTGCTCCGGTTGTCTCATTTTCGCTCGCTGGACGTATATAGCAGACGACAATCTGCGGATTAGACGACACTTGGTAGTGAATTTGTATGTGAGATTGATTTGCTAAATATAAAATACAAGAACATTTTCCATATCTTTAAACTATCATTGATATCTGATAATTAAACAGTTATTAAAATAAACCTACCAAACTACATAATACAATAAAATACTTGACTTAAAGTAGGGGAGTTTGATGTGGTGCACAATTGCACTCCTCTGTAAATAATCGAGTAGTCCAGGGCGATCATGAATATTCATGTTTTTGCTTACCTCGGCAAAATGTTTGCCTATCTTCAATGGAAAAATTACAGTGGAGGGTTGGATGAAATGGACATAATGAACCGATCAGAACTGATCTATTATAATTCATGCTTCTTATCCTTCGTGTGCTTGACCTAAAACCTTACAATTGCTTGGCAAACTGAGTCCAAAGTTCGACTTGTTTCACATGTGTTATATAGGCAATGGCGAGCTTGCAACCTATTTTGATCAAATTACGGTGGGTGAACTTTCAAAAGTTAATGGGACATGAGGGTTCCAATGAAAGAGCTAGTGATAACGTACGTCGGGGTGGATGTGCTTTTTGTTTAAACAAAAAATGAATTTTTAACGATTTCTTTGGTAAAATTCCATAGGCTAACATGTTAGGCTGCTGACTCTGACGATAGGGGGCGTTGTCAAATGAGACTAAACGGAGCTATATGTTTGTGTACTTGATAATCTTCTAAACATCCATTCTGTGTTGATATTTGAACATTGAATGTGAGGTCTTATGAAAATACACTAATTGAAATTGCCTTGATTACATTTCTTGAAAGTCTTTGCGATGGGGTTGGTAGAAAGAAGCCTTGATATCTTTACCATGCATTATGAGGGCTCTCTTCCCTTGAAGGTCGGTAACCCGGAGTTCGTGTATACTTCACCGGTAGACCGGGTTCGACCAGGTCATCGAGTTGGTTCATCATCTCCAAGGAGTCGTTGATGACTGACTGATATTCTTTGAGCACGGTACTCCCTTCCAATCCGAGATTGAGCTCGGCGGAGATGTCCTCTAGTTCCTTCATCGTCGGTCCCGTGACCATCGGGGAAACGTATATAGGATCTTCTAAGATTTAAACGACGAGAAAACGCAGTGGTTTTGAATATAGATTCAAGATTCAAGATTCAAGATAATTTATTGTCATGTAAAAAATACATAAAATTTGCCTTCGGACATAATTACAAAATTACAAAAATCATTAGTATGGACTTAAATAACGTCTAATGCGTGTTGCCTACTGGGCTTCATTTGCTGTCTTGTGACGTACTGCATTAGCTAGAGCGAAGAATTAAAATATTGCTTAGATTTATTTGTTTAGTTAGAGGGAATATTATGCAATCGAAAAGATGCCTAGTGTACATCAGAATACATCCACGACGTTTCTAAGCGCTAAACAAAAAGGTCGTGACATTAGGTTTACTCCTGTCATCATATCGGAATCTGTCTTGCGCGCTCACAAAACATGTAAATTGTTATCATCATACTCTTAGTCATAATTTAATAAGCGCTCCAAATACAAGCATTCGCTCGCGCACTGTCTTGCACTAGCACATAGAACATTAATAAAACGTTTCACAAAAGACATACACTTACATAATATACAAATTTACACTTAACGCATTTCATTGTATGCCTTATGAAGTGATTTCCTTTTTTATGTGGCTTTTATAATTAATTCATTGTCGATTATATGTTTGGTCGCCCATACAGTGCTTATACAAAAAAGTGTACCCAACTTGGTAGCTCCTATAATTAAAAATTCATACCCAATATGACTTTGAAATGTATTTCAAGATAATGAGTATTATTTTCTGTCAAAATTTATGATACCCTATTCATAATAAATATTGATATATGATTCAAGGTCACATAGATTTATAGCTTTATAATTAGAAGTTACCAAAGTGGGGTACACTTTTTTACCAATTAAATTTTAAGGTAGAAATTTGCAATCTTAATCAGTGGGTATCTGGCCTAACACATTATAAGTGGTCACAATCTTAAAGCAATCAATCAAAAGTTCATGTTCAAATACAAGTCGCTGATTCAAATATTTCCTCTTCTTTATCTGTGCGAAATTTGGGTGTCATCTTCGACAGCATGATGACAATGGATATTCAAGTGAAAAGAATTTGTCAAAGTGTGTTTTCCCAGATAAGTAATGTCTGGAGTATCATCAGGAAGGTTCTTTCAGATAAGGCAGCTGCTGTAAACGTTCACACATTGATAACCTCACGTTTAGATGGTGGAAATTATTTGATTTATGGCATATAGCTCAACAGCATTTAAGGACATTACAATATGCTCAGAATTCTGCTGCACGTATTCTTTCAAGAGGTTGAAAGTGTGACCACATTACCCCAACACTTATTGCACTACTCTGGCTTCCTATAAAACAGAGGATTGAATACAACATTATTTTATAAACATGGATATGCTCCTGTGTACATTTCAGACTTGTTGACTATAACCCTCGAACTAAATACCTGCTTGAGATTCCTCGAGCACGCTCTCTTCTAGGGGATCTAATATTCTGCCTGTGCATCGAGATTGTGGAATGGTCTTCCCCAAAATCCTTCTCTCTTGTCACCAGTTATCCACTTTCAGAACTCGACTAAAGACATACCTATTTCAGATTACTTACAATTAGTCACTGTTTTTTTGTCTTTCCCAGTTAGAATCACGAACAGACATTAATTGTTTGTAGTTTTTCAGTCTCATCAGCGCCTTTGATTAGGCAACTAGATAGTGGCGCTTTATAAATACCTGGATTGGAAATTCGGTTACAGTATGAAACCAGAGCATGATCCGCTCAATCTGTACCAATAGGTGAGCATGACACTTTGTCGTAAATCCACAGGTAGCATATTCGTGTGCAATATATCTCCCGTGCCACAATAGACGAGGTCTTTATCATGTAAGGAATAATCGTTTCAAGCAAATATATGATACATATTATATTCAAATCCCACACTGATAGATGCTATACAGGTAAGCAGAAACATTAAACACATCCTCTTTTGTCAGCGGTAGCCATCTCTAATAGCAAATGTTGCTTGACTTATGAACTTTGATTTCACGACTCCGTTCATTTATTGGCTTCCTTTCAAATTCGTTAGTCATAGCGCACGAATTCTTTTGGGACTTGTTCATCAGACATATGCAGCCTTTGTACTCCCGTGTTATTTATTTATGTATTCATTCACTCTTCTTGAAAAGCACAAACAGGGTAGCCCCATTCAGTGCCACAAGGCTTGCTTTACAAGGAGGCCATGTTATGTACTGGGTGGATAAATATTACAATGTATAAAACAACATAAAAACAAACAGATAAATACATAGAATAATATGGCAATTAAAGCATAACTATACATCAGGGGTATGACAAATTCAGCTAAAACGTTGTAGTATAAGACAAAATCAATAGGCTTTAGTTATTGCGATATCATACAGTATTATTAACCAGTGTTGCCGTAGGTGGTTTATAAAGGTTCCCTTTCAATATCACCTCGTCGATATTTAGTAGGCCAAGTTCTTCTTCTTCTTCTTATGGATAATCTCCTTAAATACTGAAGATTCATGCAGCAGGTGGACCACTACACTGGGGTTTCCCCCTATCGTATACGAATAGTGCAGTGGATTCTTAACGTGCACTTATCACAAGGAAAAGGGGCACTTATTAGAAGAAAAAAATGAGCACTTATAAGGAAAGAAAAGGGGGTATATGTCAAAATAAAAGGGGCAATAGGTTATTCTTTCATATCATGAATTGCTAGGAGTCATTGATGACTGACTGATATTCTTTGAGCATCGTACTCCCTTCCAATCCGAGATTGAGCTCGGCGGAGATGCCCTCTAGTTCCTTCGTCGTCGGTCCCGTCACCATCGGGGAAACGTACGTAGAGTATCCTTATAATTTTATAATCAACACATATTTTAAAGATGTGTATAATTTTGCTAATATTGACATCACACCGGGATTCAGATAACCCCTATGACACTATAGATTGAACAATAAAGTCATGAGAAGACAGGCGCGAACGCAGGGGGGGGGGGGGGGGGGGGGGGGGTTAGGGGGTTGAACCTCCCCCCCCCTTTGGTAATTTTATGTGTGTATTTTTGAGAGAAAAAACCCTAAAACCCCCCTTTGGTTTGGTTTTTTTTTATTTATTTTTGTATTATTAAAAAATAAATAAATAAAAAATTAGACCATGACTGGCCTAAAAAAAGGTGACCTTACCCCCCCCCCCCCCCGCTTATTCAGCGGCTGAAAAAAAAAGTGTTGGAATCCCTTCAGGAATGGTGCCGTACCAAATATGAGGTTAAATCCTGCGAAATGTCAGCTGATGAGTGTGTGCCTAGCTCGTCATCCACCTGTAGCGGTCAAGATAGAGGGTATACAGCTCCAGGATTGTACCAAAACTTCTTGGAGTGATAATCCAGAAATATATATAAACAATGGAGAGAACATAGTCAATGTAATATTGTGTCTATAAAGCTTCGCGGAAGATTTATATCCTTCGGATCCTCAAGCGTTACGTTACCTCAATTATAGTGCTATGTTTACACTATATGTTCCCGGTGGCCACGGCAACTCAAGATGAGAAACGGGGTTGACGTGACACAACGCGGGGGACCGTATGGGCGAACGTGACAGGCCGTGATTGCCGTGGATACCGTGTCAGATTTATAAACTGTCAAAAAATTGCCATGGCAGTCACGGTGCGGATGAGAAACATTGTAGGCCGTAGTAAAACGGGGTGAACGTAACACAACGTGAAAGTACGTAATACAGTGGCGGATCCAGGGGGGGGGCCGAAACGGCCGCGGCCCCCCCTATTGGCGGCGCGAAAAAAAGGAAGAAAAAAAGAGGAAGAAAAGAAGAGGAAAAAAAAGGAGAAGAGGAGAAGAAAAAAAGGAGAAGAGAAAAGAAAGGAGAAGGGAAAAGAAAAAGGAAGAGAAGAGAAAAGAGAAAAGAAAAGATAAAGAAGAAAGCCCAACTCCCCCCCCCCCCCTCCCCCTCCCTCCCACTCCGGGGTCGGAGGGACCGAATTTGTGTTCCCAAAATTTCCGATAAAGAGTTACTTTTCACGCAACAAAGTCCGGCCCGTAATACACAAAAATCCGGCCCGTACTGAATTACACCGGAGATAGAGGGGTGCTTTCAAAGAGAGGGAACATACATGTGCGTACCCTATAGTAAGTGGGTGGGGGGGGGGGATTCAGTGAGAAAGGGGGAAAGACAAGGAAATGGCGCTAAGTGACAGTAACGACGAATAAGGGAGAACTGTAATCGGGAGATTTGGGGTCATTCCAGAAGGTTTGGCAAACGTTATTGAATAGAGGGGGCCGCGCCGGCCGCATAAAATCTCGAGCCGCGGATTCAAAGTTAAACGTAAAAAACAGCCCCCTGCGCTACAAAGGTCATCACTCTTTAGTGAGAAATTTGAAAAGGGCACAATATTTTGGATGTCTTTTAAATAGAAGCTATATACTCAACAGTCAAATTTTAAATTAACGGTTGGGCCGCTTCATTACTCTTATTTTGCCCTTTATTTGGATTCAGCTCATACCAACTCGCTCGTGTTTGTATTTGAACTCATGTTGGTAGTAATCATGGACAGGGGCGGCAATCCTGGGTCCGATAGGGAGACACGTCCCCCAGGAAATTTAGAAATATAGCTAGAAAGAAATATAGCGGAATTTTTTAGAATGCATAATTTCAACATTGCAAAATCTTGCTTGGTTGCTACGCCCCGGCCCTCGCCCGATAACACAAAACTATGATATGACGCTCCCGGCCGTGATTTATCCATGGTTAGTGTAATAGATCTTTTCTCCTTTTCATTTCTACTAACCTAATTGTGTGCTATCACAATCATGATTGTTTCATTTTCCCTTTAAAGCAGGCGCCTAGCCAGGGGCGGTAGGGGCAGGAAGAGGACATAGGACGAAAAAGGAGCAGACAAAAAAAAAAAAAAAAATTCTGACAAGTCGAGTACGGTACAACGAATCGTCTTCTTTCTCTAATAATTTAATGTA